GTGAAGACCTGAGGGGATAGGGGCTTCAGAGAGGATCGCCACAGAGCTGGGCAGAAGCTGGGATGGACGTGGGCTGAAAGAGGGGTTTCCTAACCCTGCAATATGTTGATCTGTTGCCTATACAGCCATGGCCAATAATATTGGCACCCTTGCCTTTCTGTCAGAAAATTCAACCCTTCTCTCAGAAAACTGTTGCAGTTGCACATGTTTTGGTAATCACATGTTCATTTTTTTGGTTTGCATTGGAACAACACAAAAAAAGAGAGAAGAAAAGTCAAATCTGATACAATCTCACACAGAAACCCAAAAATGTACTGGCGCCCTTGTCTAAATTGTAAGAAATAAGTGCTTTTCAAGCATGACATGCTCCTTTAAGTTGTAGTTAGACACACTTGTCGCAAGTAAGAGGTGTGGCCAATGTAGTAATCACACTTGCAACCAGTTAAGATGGTGAAAGGTTGACTCAACCTTTGTGTTGTGTGTGACACTGAGCATGGAGAAAATAATGAAGTGTAAAAAGCTGTCTGTGGATTTGAGAGAACAAATTGTGGGAAAACATTGACAATCTCAAGCCCATCTCCAGAGATCTTAATGTTCCTGTATCCACTGTGCACAATATCATCAAGAGGTTTACAGCCCATGGCACTGTAGCTAATCTCCCTGGACATGGATGAAAGAGCAAAATTACTGAAAAATTACATCTAAGGCTTGTTTGAATGGTGGATATGGAACCCAGATTAATTTACAAATATATTCAAGCTGATTTGCAGACACAGGGTACAACAGTGTCGGCTTGCACTATTTGTCGCCATCTGAATGAAAATGGACGCTATAGAAGGAGACCCAGGAGGACACCACTGCTGACACAAAGGCATAAAAAAAGGCAAGACTCGAGTATGCCAAAACTTACGTGACAAAACCACAATCCTTCTGGGAGAATGGACTTTAGACAGAGGAGACAAAAGTAGAGCTTTTTGGTCAAGGACATCATGGCACTGTTTACAGAAAAAGAAACGAGGCATGCAAAGAAAAGAACACAGTCCCTACAGTTAAACATGGTGGACTTTGCAAAAGAAGAGTGGCCCAAAATTCCAGTAAAGAGGTGTAAGAAACTCATTCATGGTTACAGGAAGTGATTTATTTCAGTTCTTTTTTCCAAAGGGGGTGCTACCAAATATTAAGTTAAGGATGCCAATAATTTTGGCCAGTGGATTTTTGGGTTTCTGTGTGGGAATGTGTCAGATTTGACTTTTCTTCTCTTTTTGTGTTGTTCCAACACAAACCAAAGAAATGGACATGTGAATACCAAAACATTTGCAACTGCAACAATTTTCTGAGAGAAGGGTTGCATCTTCTGTCAGAATTGTAAGGGTGCCAACGTGACTGTATATACAGAACATATGCAGGATATTGCAACATATATGTGTTCTTTGGCATTTACCAGATATTTCAACATAAATGGCATCTGAAAAAGTTTAGACCTTTGGCTGTCATAAATGTATATGAAATGCATCTTTGCTAGCACTGCTCGGTAAAATGAAGAAGGGCAGGCAGACATGACTGGGCTACAAGAAGCAAGGTTATCAGTCAAAGGAGGCCAGTTCCATGTGCATATATACGGTTTGGAAAAGCTAGGATTATGGAGGGATTCCATGCCTTTAGGCAGAATGTTACATTACTGGGGGGAAATACTTTCCTTGGTTCCCCTTTGGCAAGATACAAAAGGGAGAAGAATTACAGGGGAAATAAGCTAGTTTCTCATCTTTATTAGAAAGAGTCCTATCCAGTATAGCAGTCTCTCTCTCTCTGCATTACTTTACAATGTACTTAAAACTTAGAATACTGTACAGCTGACACACACACAAAAATCAGGGTGGAGAGAACAAGATGGAAACTAATACAAATGAACATTTTTAGTCAAACAAGATCATATAAATCAATAAACATTGTGAAACATCTCAGTATTTTTAATTACAATACAAACAATATAAATAAAGTTTCATTGAGTCATTGTAAAACAAATTTACCGAATGAGGTAATAATAAAAAACTCAAAAATTGTTTTATAAATTTCCACACTGTGTCATCATTTATACATTATGTACAGAAAAATAAAAGACAACTCTTGGCTACATATTTGTTGCCTTAATCCATTAAATTTCAGCTGCTCCCTTCCTCCCATGCCAACAAGAATTATATAACTGATTATGGAAAAAGAAATGTAAATGGTTTGGGAGAACAGGATCGAATAACTTTTGATGCAACATTTAATCTAAACTACTACCATGCAATGTTCTCTTCTTTGCAACCATGCTAGTATATCATACCCAGCTCCTAATTTCAGAGGAACATATACAGTATTCAGCTTCCAATTAACCAAATAACAGCTGTACCCTCATCAGCCAAGGATCAAGGTGCTTGGACAGGTGGGAGCAGGTTGCCACTGTCTGGTTCTCCTGCAGCACCAGGCTGAGAACGACATGTCTGCTGATAACCCACATTAAACTTTTTATTGGGGGTTATCTGCAAACAGGTGTGAAACAGCTGGAAACACATGTCTTACTTCAAGGCAAGTATTCCACATTAAAGCAGGACATGGAGCAGCTACTTGGCCTGCCAGTTCTGAGAGGTTTCTTGGTTACTGACAGTGCCAGGATGAGGGCAGCAGCTTGCCTGCTTGACACACAGAGTAGACAAGGCCTCTGGAGCTGTCCTCCCAGGTAAGAACATTATCACTTGACCAGTGCTGAGGTAGCTGTAAAGCCTCCCAAACACTGGCCAGCTGGTGATGTTCTTGCTTGGGGAGGGCTGCATTTTCACCATACGTTGAGCAGTAAAGGACTTTGCTCCCCCAAGCCCAGCACTGACAGTAGCCAGGATGCCTCCCAGCACTGGCCAGCCAGTGATGGAAACCCTACTGTGGTTTTTAAAGTGTGGATTGGTGCCATGTTAAAACTGCAGTAGGGCTGGTGTCCTGTGTAGTGACAGAAGTTGCTATTAATTCCACTTGTGTTTGCCTGAGCATATAATTTTGGCCCTGAAGCTCAGAGGAAGAATCTGAAGGGTTCAAGCATAAGAGGATAGGGCACAACACAAACAGGACCAACATATCTGAATAGGTGCTTGGTAAAAATCGAAAACAAGTCATTCACAAACAGAACTGGCTGCTTCAGAAGTTTCTTTTTCTTTCTTTTTAAAAAAATATTAGTCTATTCAGGCATCGGAGTCATGTCCTGGGTTTCTATGCCTATACCAGTGGCAGCAAACCTTTTTGGGCCTGAGTGCCCCAACTGAAAAAACAAAACAAAAACAAAACCCAGAGGGCGGCGGGCCGGAAGTGACGGTGGTGGAACTGGAAGTGGCGGCAGAAGGGGGAATCCGGGCCCAGAGGTGCCCCGAGACCCCACTCTGGATCCGCCGCCAGCACCAGCTGCTCCGGATCCTAGCCCGCCGCCTGTCAAAGCACCAGCACCGCAGCTGCAGCCACTTCCACAGGTTTGGCTGTGGGGAAGAGGGGAGTAGCAATCCGGCGATTTATGGCTCGTGTGCCCACAGTAAGGGTTCTGCATGCCAACTGTGGCATGCGTGCCATAGGTTCGCCATCGCTGGCCTATACCCTCCAGAGGGAAGGCAGCTTGTTCCACCAGTAACCTGTTTCTGGGGGAAACAACCAGATGCAAAGCATGCCTTCCCATGTGGGCTTGCCAACAAATCCTGCTTGAAAATATGGAACTGGCAACTTAAGTCAAACTGAGTTTTTCACTGGGACCCCCTGCCCCCACCCCTTCAGTATTAAACGGACCAAACGGCACACATGTGACTCAAAAAACAACACAAAAAATTATTTCAATTACTGAGTGCTTTAGAGAATAACATCAGTCCAATACATTTAACCCCCACAAATATAAAGTGTATTTGAACAACTGAAGACACAAGAACACATGAAGGAAGAGGTAGGAGAAATTTTAGGAAACTGTTATCCCAGCCACCATTTTAAAATGTTTAACTCCCTGCTCAGCAATCCCTATATACAAATGCTATACAAGTGGCAATAAACCCTGAAATGTAATTAACTTAAAATACCTAACTGCAGAAAAGCAGCTTGTCATTCTTCGACTTAAAATTAAATACCTAGCTGAACGTTGCAATGCTAACGCAGGTGTTCCACTCTACACTGAAAAGCAACTAACAACCCCTAGCTGGCAATTTCACTGCTCATCTGGCATTCCCTGTTCTGTCCACCTTCTTAGACAAAAGTGCCATGCATTGATTCAACATACATTAAATCACAGTGATCACACGGCTGGCTGTGCCACACACGTAGATGGCATAATTGCAGTTGTGACATGTTTATGAGAGGCTTTTAATAATAATAATAATAATAATAATAATAATAATAATAATAATAATAATAATAATAATAATTATATACACATATATATTAAAGAGGGAAGTCATGCACTCATACTTTTTCAAGGATTTTCTGTGATGTTTAAACTACCTTGTCCTCTTTAGGCCAAAGCCAATGTAATGTAAAATACAACGAACATCTCATGTTTTTGATTTTTTGTGTGTGTCCAAATTTTGAGCACTGGCACTGGGAAGGCTGTGTTTATCCTTTTGTAGTGCTAATTAGTTGCCTGCTAAAAATACAGGTATTTTCCCGTGTTGATAAACAGACGGAAAAAACATTCCCCTTCAGTGAGAAGAGCAAAGGGGAGCATTTTGATTGGGAAGATGGTCCAGAGAGAAATAGTTAAGTGCTCCTTTTTCACAATTAATGTTTGGAGTCCCCTACGGCAGAATCACCAGAAAAATACATATTTTTAAAAAACAGCAATAACACACCAAGGCATCCTCCCCTCCTCTCCCAGGTCCCCTTCCATCTGTTCAAGGCATTACTCAATCCAGAACTGTGAACACACTGGAAGAGGAGTGTCAAGCTCTGCACCTACTGTTGTCACACTTGTTGTGATTTTTAAAAAACAGCCACAGAGGACAGGAACCACAGAGGACAGGTTGCTGCTCATGTGTAGCAAGGCTCCTAGAAAAGTGGGATTCTTGCTCTTGTACAAAGTCTTGCACAGGACTGTTCTTCTCTTTATAGCTGGAGCTGTCACTGTGAAGAGTGGTGGGGCCAGGTGCTGAATAGGGCTTAGTTTGGATATGACTGCCCTATTCTTTAGCAGAATTTCCTTGTATTCACCAGACAGTCGTATACAATAATGTCTATATCCTTCTTACTTTACCATGCAACAGCCATATCTTTGTGGAACTATTTACATTATATACTCAATTCATGAGATTTGTGCATATAGATTAGGCATTGAGATATTCATTACCGTATGCATGGACATCTACCTATGGAAAGCTGACTTCTGCTACAGAATTATATAAGGATATTTGTAGCATCTGTGCAAAGACAAGAACAAGCGGTCTGGATTACAGCACCACAAATGTCCTTGGTCCAGAGACTGATTCACCAGATGTGTTCATCCATATACATAAGTCTCTGTAGTTATCCCACTGAATAGTAACTTATCCAAACTGGTTTCTGAAGCATGATTAACAAGACTCACTATTCTGTACACCTCTCGGGGGGAAAAGTAGTTTTTCTTCAGTTAAACTGATTTTTTTCTTTTTAGGCATGGCTAGTTTTAAAGTCTTTAGGCTGCTTGAGACATTAATTTTCACTACTTTGCATTTTTAAGATATGACTATGGAAGGAAGAGTGCACTTTCCCTGACATCCATATTTTAATATTTCTCAAAGAGTCAGAAACAAGTGTGCCATATCAGATTTGGGCCTGTAAAATACGTGGGTGACTGAGCCACGTTCAGAAATATCTGTCTCGTATCCTTTGGACAGTATGTCTTTTGCTAAGCCCGCTACCCTTTCCCGAAACATTTAAGGGGAAAGTAAGGCCCAAAGGAGTGCTCAATCTGAAACTATATTATTATATATGGAATAAAAAGCTGATTATGGTTTGATTTGCACTGATATTACAAAACTCTGGCTTACAAATTTCTAAAATATGGTCATGGGGGGCTTGGAAAAGAGGTGACATGTGTCTGCCAGCATGCAATAAAATCTTTATCAAATACACCCCTCACTTTCTGTACATTCAGAACAGGGCCCTTTGAGTAGACCAAAGGCGAGTTGGATTATTTTCCTGCTCAGAATATTGCTCAGTCCCCTTCCAGCCCAGTGAACTGCTGCAGACACTGCAATAATGCTAGCATTGATTCCTAGAGGATCAGCTCCTTCTACTTCATGTGTACCTCTAGTTCAAGGCCACTGAGCAGCGGGTTGGACTTGATGGCCCCCTCCAACTCCATTATTCTATGATTCTATGCAGAGGTACCTATGGTAACACCATGTTTTCTGGAGGGAGGCATGTGGAGTAGCAATGTCGTGTGATAATAAAAGAGGGTTCTCTGGGTAAGACAGGCAGAGTCTTGAAAAATTACCAGCTGAGGGAGCTGTAGTAACAACATTGTAAATACTTTGCTAAAATGAAGGCATTTAACAAAGCTTCTGTGAAAAAGCAATTAGCATTTGATCTGCACTGCTTTCTTGCAGTACAACAGGATTCTAAGTTTTATAAGAGATAGGCATCTGAATGAGAGTTGGTTCACACTGTCAAACTTCTATAAATACAAGATTATTATTGTAATATGCAGGTGCTGTGAGAAACAAAAGTTATATGAACTAATTCTCTTCACAAATTACATAAAAATCCTATTTTTAAAAATATCTGCCTGCAACTAGAACACAGAGCACTGAAGTCAGCAGAATTCATGTCCCCACTGGTGCAATCTGATGAAAGAGACAGAAGAGTAGGTACTTATTGTCAGTGTACAGGAATTAGATGCCTAGCCAGCTACAAGTCTTTGTGAAAAATCTCCTCCAGGATCTTTATTCTGATTGCATTTGAAGAACCTAACATTCTTAGGGGAGCAACACTAAAAAATATCTGAACTACTAAAAATGCAGACTAACATATATTTTCCAGGTCAAAAAGTTGCTCCTTCAAAAGCAAGCAGCTCAGCGTCTTCTTATAGTGGAACATAAAGTGGACACTTTAACACTGCCCACAGAGTTGTTACTTATTAAAAAGCTTTCACTTTGCAATCCAGCAAAGTAAGGTCCATTGTTTAAAAACAGAATTTTAAGCATCCAAACCATTTCTAAATGACAAACCTTACTGTAAATCGTATAAACCAAATGTTAGTACAATCCAAAATGTACTAGAAAAGTTGAAGTATTAGGGAAAAAAGACAGATACCTCCTCCACTCTTTTTCTTCTGAAAGAAGGAATTGGAAGGAGGAAAATATATCGGTCAAAGAAATTGGCAAAAAATACAGCAACAGCAACAAGCTAATGGTCAATGTTTTGGTCTTTTACCTGTGCATTGCCAAGATGTGCAGCTAAGGTAATTAAAACATATATACAGTTACAAATCTCACTAGCAAACTCTGCTTGACATTTGTGATACCTGTACTTCCTCTTCTTAATCATTTAAAAACATACAAAAACAAACTTGCTAGAAAAGTGACAGATGCTGAAGACCTTATTTCCCTTGCTATATTAAGCTCATTATTATGTTTAAAAGTGAATGTATCTATGACTGCATATAACATACAGAATGGAGTCCATAAATAATATATGTGATTATCATAACCCACATAAAGAATTCTATAAATATGGACTTACTAAATTAACATCAGATTGCCAAGCATCAGTGTTCCTTATTTTGCCATGCAGTTCAGGTTAGAACAAAGATCTCCTTTAATTTCTCAGCAATTTCTGAAAGGCACACAAAACTAAATAAAAAATTCATGCTATAGGGGTAGAGTTGGATGGCAGATTTTCTTGAGTTTGTCCAGTCAAGGGGTGTGGTTTGCTGGACTCCAGACTGCCAGGCAGAAGATGGTAAAGTAAGTTTTCTTGCTCACTTTAGTCTTAAAAACTGGTTTATGCTTGTATACTATCAACATTCAGGAACAAGGAAAGGAATATATGTATCTCTGTGGAGCTCTAAAGAGGAGATGGGGCATAGTGCTTGGTGGTGACCATTATCCTAACCAAAGGCAAATAAATGCTTGTCTGCCTTGCCCAGACTTGCTCTGGCTTCTGGTTGCAGTGTGCCCCACAGGAATACCCAGTTAATGCTGCTATGGAATCTCTAGTAGTGAAAATGGCAATGGTGTGGTCACTGTATGTGCCAAGAGAGGCAGCTGTAGTTCAAACTGTAGCTCTCAGGATAGTGGTGAGTCTATTTCCAGGTCTGCTCAGTATTTCCTGCCTCAAGAACTTCTGTTCCCTCTCTAGTCCAGTGTCCGCTGGCTCAATTCTTCTTCTTACCAGGGGTGAAGAAGAGACATGACAACAGCTCAAGACCATAGCAATAAAGCCTTCGAGAATACCATAGCAATATTCATCAGGAACAGCCAGGTCAAGGTTTCTCTCTCTCTCTCTCTCTCTCTCTCTCTGTGTGTGCATAGCTACATGGGAAACAGCAAGAAAGTGTGTACAACAATACCATATTAAGAGAATAAGAATACATACTTTTCGCATGCTAGTTTTTAGTGTTCTCTACCATGGATTCATTGGGCAGCCCTTGACAATGGATGAATTGTATACATGCTTTCTTATGTTTAATTTCAATCTGTAAAATGGGTATGTATTTTCTAGATGCTTAATTTCATGATTATACAAACCAAACTCCAGGAGGCAGTGGAAGACAGGAGGTCCTGGTGTGACTAAACAACAATAACATACAAAGCATGCAGAATACTTCATTAGTCATCTGTTGCACAGCTCATTTAATCATGTTCCTTGCTCTGCAGGTAGATCAGTTTTTGCTTTCTGCCTATAGCACAGCAGTAGTCTAGATTTTGCTAGTCTAGTATTCCGTGGACAATAATTGTTTGGTGGCAGGGATGTGCAATAGTTAGATGAGCAGAGTTTTCCTATGATTTACCCCCCCCAGGCCTTGCCATTTTTTATTTCAACAGTTAGCAGCCCCAAAGCCCAACAGCATCCAATAATTAGAAAGCAGTATTTAATGGATAAAAGTGGGTAAAAAATATTAACAACCCCCAGCACAGACTCGTTTTCAAGAAAGGAGATTTAGCCCTCCAGATGATTCCTACTGTGATCTCTTACAGATAATATTTTAATTACTTCTTAATTTGTTGCATGCACTTGAAGGGCATAATGATTTTATTAAATAGGCTGCATTTCAGAAAAGATGAAAATGTAGTTAAGAAAAGGAAAGGAACAAAATTGAATGAATTCAGAAATAGTGATATGGTTGAGGTGTTACTGCATTATCTTAAACATATATTTTTCTTTCTTGTGCTTCTCACAATCTCAATTCAAGAAGGATCTCAGTACAGTACTGAATCAATGATTTGCTGTTTCTACTTGCAATGATATTCTTTTTCAGACATGTGAGGAATTCAGGAACTTTTCAGTTCCTGAAATGTTAGGAGAATCTAATAAATACTGAAAACAATTTCCTTTAATCCTAAATAGGCAGAACAAACTACTGGATTCAAATAGGCACATATAAAATATACTGATTTTTGTATGTTTAAATTGATGAAGGAAGCTGGAATAATATGCAAGGTGATATTTGTTTCAAAGTCTCACTGACAAACATACTTGCAGTAGTGTGCAAAATGCCAGCAAATATTAAGATATGAGGTTTAGACTGGCCAGAGATTGCCTACCCTCTTTCTGGCTCCTGGTAAAATCCAGTAAATCCTACCAGCACCTTTTTAGCAAACCACACATGACACTTGGAGCAAACTTCTAAGAGGTCAATAATGGTGAATACACATTAACATCTTAATATAGTGACACCTAAGGGAAGAGGAGGAAGCAAAAGGTGATTATGGAACGCATTAAAATACATATGTTAAAAAAATGTTATAACTGACAGAAGATCCCCATGCCTCTACCATCAAACTGATACAAACAACAAGAACAAATAATGAGCTTCCCTTTGCTTGCCAAAGAATGCTAAGATGTGGACGGACATCTGCAGGTTCCTGCAGCAACCCCTCGAGATATGTGTCCAGAGAGCTTCAAACAACAATATTAAAAAGCATAGACACTGTCTGTGGGTCAGAAAAACTTTTCTTGTCCAAACACAATTCTATCAGAGCTTTAACTACAGTGAAAGGGTGATATTCAGGGCTTGTGAAATCTAGCACATTTTCTACATTATACATTCTGTCTCTAAAATTATCACCACACCTTGAATATTCTCTTTTCAACAAACAAAAATACAGTTGACAAGTGAAATCTATGTTGACATTCTTAATTCCAAGCAGGTATTTACTTAATTTATTTTCAATGGCTTTCATTTTTTTTATACTGAGATTATTCAAAGTATAGTAATAATTAAAAGGGGACCTTGGGAAAGAGTGAACATTGGTAAAACATTGAAAAATGTGAACTGTAGTTGAACTGGTTGGTACTAACAAACGTCCATAAAGTGTTAAGTAGCTATAACGAAGATGCATTCGATCTTTCATGAGAACTATTGAAGCTCAGGACAAGGTAGCAGAAGCTACTGCCTCACTTAGTCAGATTTCATCTCCAAGACAACCCTAAATGAAGTCAACAGAAGGTCTTCTCCTTTAAGTTGCATTTCCTGGAAATTTATTTTAGTCAGCTGCTGGGATCAAAGAGCAGAAACCTTTGCCTAGTAAAGGAGTACTTCACAGTACTTTCACAAATACAGTGGAAATTCTGTTGGCCTGCGGTGAACATATCTTCTAATGGGCCAACTGTTAGTGTCAACTAAGTAGTACATATTAAGGAAGCAATATTAAAACTGGTCTCTATGAAAGCCTTCAGAGCCACTAATGTACTCTCGCGCTGTGAAACTGCCATTGCAGGGATTGTGCAGCTAAATACATGAAAACGATTTACAAAGGAAATCAGGCATCTGACTAAACCACTGCAGTCTGAGCTCCTGACATTTCCCTAATTTCATCTGGGTGGAGTGGTAGGAAAAGTGGCACATATTTTCCCTGAATTGCCAAAAACATAACAAGAGTCATTATTCCTGTCTTGTCAACATAAATTTAATTCCAATTTTATGTGGTCTAATTATTTTTTCCAAGGGGAACATAAACAATTCCATAGTAAAAAAACAAAACAAAAAAACCCCACAACCTACAGAATGCAGGCAAATGTGTACTCTTCTTATTGTGCATGGTCAGTTAATTTAAAAGAATTCTTCATGCATCTCTATTTCTCTTCAGTTTCTTCTCTAGGCAACAGCCTTCTCCCTTGCTATTCAAAATCATAGACTCACCCCCAAGCTAGAAGGGCACCAGTGCTACTAAAATATCCAAATATTAATTGTTCTTTGAAATTAACTCTAAACCTTCTCCCTGAAATCTGCCCATTCCATGAGATGTCTCTGGAGCACAAGAATCAAAATTCATTTAAAGAAGGGCATCAGGCCAAGTTGGCCGGGGAGGGGGAATATACTCTGATTCTTACATACTATGCTTATGGTTTCCAGTCACCTTCCACAACAGCCTCATGAAACATACAATGAAAGACGTTTGTGCTTCTGGAAGACAATAAACTGTTCTTCCAAACCATATGTCTTTTTACCTTTTCTGTGCCAACATAGATACAACCTTTATCAAGGAATAAAAATCTATTTTCTGGGAATGTTTTCAAGATCTGTCATAATGATTTGTGATTCCTTAGACCCTAACTATCTGCACATTATTTCACATCAATTACAGTTTATAAATTAACAAAAGAGTATTTGCCTTGTAAAAAAATCAATGCATATTTATGAACATTTAAAAATTCTAATTGATTTTTACATACATATAACCTAAAAACACAATACAAAATCTGTATAACTTAGGCAATGAATAAACAAAATTCTACACTTTTACCTTGATAAAAGTGACACAAGGTATTTGTCATGACTGAAAAAAGCTAGCTTTTTTCCCGTAGTTATTGTCATAAAGGTATTTGAAGTATTTTTTTTCTTAGTAGTATTCATTATTCCTTTTTTTGCATTTCATAGCTATTCTTATTTATTTTTTCCATCTTGTTTTTACACCAAGAAGGCTGCAGTCAAATAATACTCAGCAACTGATTTTCTCTCTTTGGACTGAAAAATTAAACAGATACTAAATTATGACAGTGAATTTAGAAAGGAGGGCTCCAAGGGCTTGAAAGAACATGTCTGAGATAATATGATGCTTCTAAGAATATTGCAATCACATCCAAGCAATCACCGAAGCGTGCCATGTAACTACCTCCTCAGCTAATATGCTTTTTTCTCTGTGATGACTAATCATGTTCTATTAAACAGCAGTAACGCTGGAAGAACTCAACTATACAAGTGTAATGAAGCCAGTATTCTCCCTGGACAGATTAGCTACAACTGATTTGACACATACCATCATAGGAGCTTCAAACCTGACAAACTCTGTGCTTGCCTCTGATTTATGCCGTCAAGCTCTTTGGAAAAGAGAATGAAATCCAAATGTTCAGTTTGGTAGAGGTGAAATGTACTAATGTGCTTAACTGTCAGTTAAGGAAAGTAACCGTTTCTTCTCGCCTTCTCCCGGTTGTCTCCCTCCAGTAACTCTCATGCAATCCTTGTAACAGACCCGCCTAGAGAAACCCTAGTCAAATGGTCCCATGCCATGTGCTATCATTAGTGAATCTATGACCTCTTTGTCTTCCTCTCCCTTGTACAGTTTCATCGTTCAAGATCTTTTTATTAAAATAAATGGTTTCTGCAGTCCTCTTTTCTCCTTCTTGTCTCTTTACAATATCCAGGCAATTTTTCCCCCTGGAGAAAGAGGAAAGGAGAAGGGATATTTTATAGACGTGTAGATGTCAGCTGTCAAGGTAATGCATAATCTGAGACTGTAGATGTTAGTACTGCCAGAAAACGAGAACCACATTCTTCAAATGATAGTAGGCATTCTTGCACTGCTGTTGTTCCTATTAGTGTTCTTCCTGGATAAATTTGGAGTTGCCATAAGAACAAAGCGCTCATCTGGACAACCATACTGCAGGAGGATGTCAATGCATTCTTGGCTCGTTGCTTGTCTGGCATAGGCCAATGCACTGTTTCCATGGGCATCGCGGGCCATAACATCAACACCGTACTGTGGAAAGAACACATACCATTTCAGGCTCTGAAATCATCTTTGACCAGTGACATGCAGAAAGTACCCAGCATTTGGTTAAGGGAAGGCAGGTGACACAAATTCCATACCCTGGAGCTTTATAGAGCTGAGCTCTTTGTTAGGCACCAAAACTATACTGTAGCAGCCCAGGAAGAAATGGAGCACAGGATTCACTGCTGCTTCCCTAGGCTGGAGCGGAGAGAATTTCAGTGACCAAAGGTGCTCTGAGGTGGTCCACACCATTTCTTTTACACTCTACTTCTTGAACCTGTTTTGTGCTGCCAGCATTGACAGGTTTCTTGCACCTCTTGAGGTTTATGGACATATGCTTCGTGGTTTAAGTCAGGCCAGGCGTGCAAAGCAGTACAACTCCATTCAGTTATAGAATCTCTTAATTAAACCAAGCTGATAAGCTACCCTGTGACATGGCCTGGCTTATTAAGCAAAGTTTCCAAAGCAAAGTTTCAATCTAAGACTGAAATCCCAAACCCATGTGGCAGTTACTTACCCAAATCAAGAGCTGCACCAATACTACATTTCCTTTCCTGCAAGCCAGATGTAAAGCTGAACGCCCATCCCCATCTCCACAGGTTTCATTTACTTCTTCTCGTGTCCCATGGGCAAGAAGCAGGATGACAGTTCGCAAATCTTCCTCTGCAGTTGCTCTAAGCAGGTGTTGGCCTAAGGAAAGCTCTAAGCATTGTAGTGGAGCAAGAAAGAGCTTCTGTTCATATTTTGCCCGGATCCACTGCTCCTTTTCTTCCCTAGTAAAGCAAACATACATGTTATTCAGTATAGGCCCATCATTATACTGGTACTTTAATTTTCCAATCTGACACCTGGCTTGGAATTGCTCTGGATGTTAAGACTTTAAAAATGCACAATTCTAATGCCCCCATCCCCCTTTTTAAATGACTGGATATATTTCTTTTGTGTTAAGCAAAAATATCAGGAGATCAGAGGTCTACATTAACGGCATAGGCCTCAACAGTGAAGGACGTATGAGTAGGAAAAAAAATGCCTAGTACAAATACAACACAACACAAATTTATGCCAGAGGACAGAAGTATGTCATTGTTACATGCTCTTAGGTTGGAACTGACTTATAGTGACCCAAATAGGGCTTTCAAAATAAGTGAGATATTTAAGGTGTGGTTTTATCACTTCCACTTTCCCAGTGACTTTGCATGGCTAAGTGGGGGATTCAAACCCTGGTCTTCAGAGTCCTAGTTGATCACTCTGCCCATTACACCACACTGGGTATCTCGAGCAGAAGTATAGTCTGTGCAAGATTTGTTGTCCAGACAAAGACTCTGAAGAGCATCTGGGTCAAATAACAAAGTTTTCACTTGCTCAAGGAGATACTGAATACCTTCTTATGAAAGCTCTGCAAATGTCAAACTGTGTGCAGTAGACCCCAACACAAGCCAAACCATGTAAAGGGATTGTCACACACCCCCAGTCCCGCTATTTGTTTTTCCACACAACCCAGGTTCACTTTTGGGTATGACATTTACTTTTCAACCCTTTTCGCTGCCATCAGAGGATTTATTCCTCACTCTATCAAATATGACTTTAAAATCAGTGTTATTCAATAAAACGTTTATTTAAGTGTTTATAAGTAAATCATATATAGTAAATCATGGATGGTCTTATTTTATTTATTCAATAAACTGTGCTTTGATAACATTTATATTTGCTTATTTATAATCAAGGTATTTATTCATTTCTTATCTTGTTCTCTATCTCTCTATTCTTCTCTAACATAATACTGGTCCTAACTGCCTAAACTGTTTTTCTCAAACTAATATCCTTAACTGAAGTCCCTAACTGAAGTCCCTGACTCTAACTCATATCCCTAACTCTAATAGATCTTTAACTGCCTTCCATTCCTCTTATATTTCCTTAGTTCCGCCTCTTCTGTTCAACCATTGGTTGATATATCAAGGTTCCATTGTCATGGACAGGAGGGGTTATTGACCTGTCCGTCACATGGATACTGGCTTTGCCGCTCAGTAGAAACCAGCAGACATTCCCATTACTGCATTTAATAGCCAGTATAGCAGAGGCATTTACCACCTTACACAAACACTTCCCATAAAATTGTGCCAATTTTCAGGACATAGCTGTGTTAGTCTGTTTCAGTGACAATAAAAGCAGAACAGAAGTCTTGTGGCATCTTCCAGATGAACAATTTTATTATAGCATGAGCTTTCATGGTTTACAGTCTGCTTCTTCAGACACATAGATTATGCAGACACCAGGTTTATATACGGTGTACTATAGGTTGTGGAGATGAAAGCGGCATCAAATGAAATGAGAAACAGAAAAGGATGTTGCTTGCCTGTAGCTGTGTTTCTCTGAGTGGCCATTTGTGCACTCACTCACATCTATGTTTAATATCTGTGCAAGGGCAGAGCAGGTGGAAAGCTTCTAGAACTCAGTTAGGGCTCCCACCTTCCACTCAGTTCCTTAAGGCTGACAAGATGTGGAGCAAAGGAAAGCAGCAGAGAGGTGGTTGTAAAAGTGCACAAATGACTACTCACATAAATACAGTTACAGGTAAGCAATCCATCCTCCTTCTTAGTTACTCACCAAGATTCACGCATATGGCTGAACAGCTAGCTGTAAGCACCAGAAGGAGGATGCTTCCTTATTGACTCAACATGAGGATGGCATGGCTGAAGGCCACTTGATTTCTGGGACAGGTGTCCAGGCAATAATGACTATATATATAGGGAGGATTGAGACCATGTTACAGACTTTCAAACCTCCTCAAGGGGTAATCCTTTGAGGAAGGCTGTAGTAGTTGACAAGGGTCTGGTTGAATAAGCTGGGAGCTACAGTGGCAGCTGAAATTTGACAAATGGGTAGGTGAGGTGGGCAGTGGTGACTATGCACTGAGAGACTCACTGGACCAAAGCTCAGCAGCCTTTACTCCAGCCCACGTGGCCGACTAAGAATCTGAGAGATCTGAGATGCATTTGGTGTGATGAACATAAAAAGTGAGAGCTCTACAAGCATCAAGAGGATGAGGAGAATGTCCTGAGAAGAAGTCAAAGAATGAAATGCATAAAGAATAATTGGCTGGTTGACTTGAAAGGAGAAGATTGCTTTAGGAAGAAAGGATATATCTAGCCGAGGGAGATGAAGTCCTTATGTAATTGATGGAATGGAAGGTCACATCCGAGTGTAACCAGTTCACTGTACAAACTGACAGCAACAAAGGGCTTTGTTTTGAAAGTGAGAAGGCAAGGATCATAGGTGAGAGGTTCGAAAGGATCTGACATATGGTGTTCCTGACAGATGAAAGAAAGAAACAATGCTATTTAACACAGTAGGATCAGCAGGTAGACGGCTTGCATGCACTTTATATTACATGGAGAACATCCAGGAAAGGGTGTCTGAGGCTGGATTCTCCACAATGAGAAGAGGGCTTGAGGATGTGACAGGTCCGCAAAAGAAAGAAGGTTGAGTTATTGCCAGATGGAAAGATAGTCATGGTTCTTCATCATGGGGTCCATGTATGCACACAGAGGGGTCCAAAGTTGGGTCTGCGCAGGTGCGCAACCCCTCTGTGTGGATTCATGGATCACCACTCAAAAACAATAGTTATGTAAATAACCAAGTCTTCAGCGGATGAGGGAGAATGGGAAACTTCAGTTGCCTTGGCAATCATTGCATTAAATTTATTGTTTCTGCTATTTTTAAATGCAAATATCATTTTTATTTGTTACAATAAGATGTATTTGTGAGCATTTTTATTTTAACATATTTTTCCAAGTTTGTATTTATCATATCATATCATATCATATCATATCATATCATATCATATCTTATATTATATTATATTATGAATGCAAGTTTTTCTTAAAAGAGAGCTGCCATATTTGTAATTTGTGCAATCCATCTCTGCACAAATTTGTGGCCTTTAACTTTGAGAAGCAAAGCACACACAAAAAGCAAGCGCAGAAGGACTGGCTGATTGCTTTAAAAGATGCAAATAATCCCTTCAATGCTTTAAGTCCCAGGGAACAAGCATAAGCTATCATCTTTTTGTGCAATTTGCATTAAAGTGTTATGTTATGCAATTTTGCTTAATATGTGCAAAAATTACTCTCCACTTATCAACTGTCACAAAACACCTCACTAAGTGAAGAGGAGAATCATTTCTTTTTCCTCATGCATTGGGACAGGCAAGTGAAGATTTACATCCCTAATGAAGAGATAGGATTTCATAAAAGAAGTTGCTTAAAATCTCTTGACTCCTCACGAGTTTCTAATATAAGTGCAGACTATTTAAAGGAACAAATTGTAATCAGTAGAATAACTTCTTGGAATCACGATCTAAATTTCAGTAATATTCAAAGAGCAGTGTTTCAAAGAAACCATATACTAACAGAGATTGATCCTAAGTAAATTTCCTTTTAGAGACACCCTTGCTCATTGTGATAATCACATTAAACAGAAAGCATCAAGCAAGGAAGTGTGGTAATACATTGGGTTTACTTCTTCAAGTATAAAAAGAAAATGTCCTCCAAGTTTTTGTAGCAAGACTCCTAGTAATGTGGTGTCAGGTTAACTTTAATTTGGTTTTCAAATGCTTATGTAAACAGGTCCTTTGCAAGGTTAAACTGGATTAGTTTTGCATCACTTCCTAGTGAGCAGGGGGTGACCTTACCATAACCCCTGTGCATACTTTCACACAAACCTTTCTACATCAGGCACTTCCCAAGAGGAACAGATTTACTCTATAGAGGACATCCCCCTTCCCCAAATCCACGGAACAAAATAGGCTTTCTGCCCTTTATACACTTAAACCAAAACCAAGAACAAAAAACAGAAGAATTAAAGGAGTGTTGTTACTTCAGGTAATTTTGATAAAAGCACTAAAAAGAAGATTGAGATATTATTAAATCATCTTTCCTCATGTTTTCAACATAAAATCAAAAACAAAATTTAAATAGTCAATAGGAAAAGATACATAATAATATGCTCAGAGATATTTTCTAGGACAACGTTATTGTTCTCCAAAAAAAAGGAAAAATACAAGTTTATGAGGAACAAATGGTAACTTTACTATTGTCTTACATAAATTCTCAGACAATATTTATTTATTTATTTATTTATATCCGACCTTTCTTCTTAAAAAGAACCCAAGGTGGCTTACATCATTAAAAAGACAGTAAGTAGAAGCTAATATATGTGTGTACGTCCTTAATATATGAAACATATAGAAACTAGTAGACTTTGCAAGCTGCCCATGGAAGACTATCAAAAAAAATCAAATCGAAGCAAAGCAAAGCATTTCAAAACAATGGATACAAGCTCAGTTTGGAAAAGTAGTTTTCTGGACTACAACACTCAAAATCTCCAGGGAACATATTCAGGAAGTAGTAGTAGCCCTAGAATAACTTTTCCAGCCTCTGGAAGATAAACATATATATTGCTCAGGGGCTGATTGTATTACATATTCATTCTTTTATTTATTCTTTCAAAATGCCAAATGACTGGCAGTGAAATAGTACATGCAAATAATCCAGAAATATTTTACAAACATACCCCATACCAATAATAATAATAATAATAAAAAGAATTGTAGCAAAATAAAAAGATGATATCCCCCTGTTAAAACTGAAAGCTGAGGTGAGAAAACATATGGAAAAGAAGGCTGTCCTTAAGACATCTAGGCTGTTATGTTATTTAGGGTTCATTGAACTTAATTCAGAAGTAACAGCAACTGATATACATCCAGTAACATCAG